TTAAATCGAAGAGATAATAGCTTTGCAGGATCACATTGGAGCTGGGTGGTAAAAGTCCAAATATCATCTTTGCCGATTGCGATAGTAAGTTCAGGATGGATTTTTAGAGTGCTTGCATGCTTGCTTGCTGGCGATTATTGATGATGAACATGAGCAGTAGTTGATGGAAATGTTTCTGCTTGAAAAAATTAGGCAGGAAAATGAGTCACATATCGAATTCTGGTGTATTTTAAATGTACCCAATGAGACTTTACTTTTTTTAATTGAGTTTGTTGCAAGAACTAGGTAAGAAATCATCATTTTCATGCATATTTTCGGCTAGAATTCAAGTTAGTCAGCAGGCATTCGTCGTGATACAGTTAACAAAGCATCGGAACTTCCTATTAATATTTTACTTTTGATGAGTTCAAGAAAGACCATGAATATTTCTGTCAATTGCTTAGCAAAGTGTTTATGATTTACAGTCGAGGAAGCTGTCAAGCAAGCCAATTTTGGTCTGTTCTTCAATCAAGGCCAATGCTGTTGTGCTGGCACGCGAACCTTTGTGGAGGCGAAAATCTACGATGAATTTGTGGAACGTTCAAAAGAACTGGCGCAGAAGACGGTTATCGGTGATCCGTTCGACGTTAACACCGAGCAAGGACCTCAGGTATGCGACTGGCTGGCTGGCAGTGTGTTTCGTTTCCGCTGCATGTTCAGCAAGGAATCATGCCTTCGCCATTTCACGATCAGACGACATGAGAGTGGAGAAATCGAACGGGATTCTTGAAAGCAGTCTTTAGGGTTCCGAGTTAAAGATGACTCCAAAATTTGCGTGAAGACTTACTTCACAATACAAAATGTGTTATGAGATTTCCGAAGGAACGAAAACTTTACTGCTTTGATAGAAATCCATCGAGTGAATCTGAATGGGGAGGGGAGTGTTCCCAAATATTCTGGGCAATCGTACGCTGTGTGGTCAGTCTGAATTGTTGCCCAGATTTAGATTGATGAAACCCAAATGCACACCATTCTGAGATATATCGAATCCGGAAAGCACGAAGATGCGATACTGGTTACCGGTGGGAAACGACATGGAGATAAAGGTTACTTCATCGAGCCAACCATATTCGCTGGTGTACGAGATCAAATGACGATCGCACAGGAAGAGGTTAGAGCGTTTGTGGCTGCAGTTTAAAGAAATCNGTTACATTTCTATGCTGTAATTGTACGATTGTATACAATATCAAATGACTTCGCTGAGAAGTTTGGTGGCGAAGCGACTAAAACTGGAAGTTTTCAGTGTTGATAGCCACTAAAACAGCTCTCATCAAGGGCTCTGCGTCAAGCATTATATAAATCCAACTGTTATAATTGTATTCAGTGATAGGATTAGATATCCAATGGTACGATAGGATATGATTATTTGTCTGCTAAATTCAGATATTCGGTCCAGTAATGTCAGTGATCAAATTCGACAGCATGGAGAATCTACTGGAGACGGCCAATAATACCATCTATGGTCTGGCGGCTGGAGTGGTCACCAAGGATTTGGATAAGGCCATGCATGTGGCGAATAATATCCGTGCTGGAACCGTGTGGTCAGCTTTTTTTAATGTTTTAAAGCAATATCTTATTTTGCGACCCTTCGTCAAGCCTATTTTGAAGCACAGTCCTAGATCTGACGATGAGGGTGTTGAATTAGAATAATGAAAGATTAACAAGTGAAATTGATTCCTACAACTGAAATTGATATCGCTTCATTTGAACTGTCACAATCGCTCCAGTTTGTGGTTAGAGATAGCTGGTTCGAGCTACATACGGTTAGCTGTCAAGCTAGCATCCGCGTTTGGCATCAACTACGAGCCTGAGCTAGTATGATTTAACAGAAGATGACTCCTTACTTTCATATAATGTTTCTGTAACGAAATGAAAAATGGAATGCTAGAGTTACTTCCTTTGGCTTATATTCGGCTTAAAATTCGGTGGACTTAACTTGAAACATTTATGATCGCTGCAGGATAAATTGCTACGATGTTTTCGATGCTGCGGCGCCGTTCGGTGGTTATAAACTATCGGGAATTGGTCGTGAATTGGGCGAATATGGTCTGGAAGCTTATACTGAAGTGAAAACGGTCTGTAGTCTTCATGAAACTTTTTTTTTAAAGTTTTTACGATGATAGCATTGAAGAGAACATGAGGTGATGGATAGTAGTAAGCCTAGGCGAGCGACTGATCCTGTTAGCCGTATGATATAAGCCTTGAAATCAGGAAGCTTACGATTAGAGATTTGGTCTATGCGGATTGTTGAAGATTTGCATTGAAAGGAGTGAAAATTTATAAATCATTAATTGGATTGCAGGCTCATAAGATTTGTCCAGTGATTCGTGAATGTTATCTTCGTTTCAACGATATCTGATTCGTTGATCGCCTTTGATTTCAGGTCACCATGAAGGTTCCTGAGAAGAATTCATAGGCTTGATCGGTGTGAACGAATGATGGATGGCAAAAACATCAAGGTGCTGACATTATTTTGATTGATTACCTGAGATTTTTTTCGTTATGTGATAAATATTTTTTGGTGGTTGTGCTGTTATTTTAACCACATATTAATTCCTTCCATGTTGCTAATGATCAGTTGATGTCTGGATATTTCATTTGTTGTTGTGTTATTAATTTCGTGATTTCTTGAAACTTAAACTTGTTTTGGTTTATATTCTTTGCCTTCAATCTGTTTTCCCGAATGGATGGGAACTAATGCCATTCCAACGTGTCGACGGGCTCGGGCTTTGTTAGCTCATGACTTTACCCATTAATGAGGGAAGTGAAAGGGAAGCGAGCACCAACTTTAATTATAAATTGCCGGATTTCACGAGTGTTTTTGGAAGCGAACTGCCCGAATTTAGCATCCAGTGGTTGCCCGTCTTAATTTTATGCCAAAGTTTTGATCACATCGAGATATGCCGTCTTCTCATCCGTAATGAGAAGTACACTGTCGGTATGTCTTCAGATTATCCGTTAGTTGTGGATAATCAGGATTAAGTGCGATTTAACTGAGCTACTTAATTGCTTTCTTCTAAGTTCCTGGTCATTACTGCTCAGCGCATTTTGAGCAGATTAAGCCGCCGGTTAGTTAGATTTTAATAGAAGTG